TTTGTAGAGTCTAGCGACTTGTGTATCTGTGCACTCTCTTTAAACTACTCGTCCAATTTCATCATATTTTTTTCAGGATTTCGCCGAATTGGGTTCAATATGATGGTCTCTCTTATTGTGGCTAACATCATTAACGTTGGGTTGAGTTATCCCACACTTTCAGCAAGTTATAGTGTCTTATGTCAATATCAACTATTTCCGGATAAGACAATTAAGTGGCAAGGTAGAACTTAAAAAGAAAAAGCCATCCTTTATCGTTAGATACATACGAGGGTAGCGTGAATTTTTTGTAAATTCTTCGATTTCCAGAATGATTTATTATAGTACTTTATTAATTCAGCTCATGCCAAATCAGTATTGAGCATATTTGACTAAGCTAAGTTACAAGAATGTTTCGAAATAATTGACTTTTTTTTTTTTCGAAATTATCCTCCTCAAGACTCATAAAAAATGGCTTGGGAAGCAACAATGCATGGGTTATTCTAAGTGTACATTATGGGATCCATAAAGGGATCCATAATGTACACTAGGCCGACCCCCATTTGTACATTATGGATCCCATAATGTACACATAGCACCACCCATAATGCATTGATCTAGTCGCCACTGGAGCCATAAAGGACTATCTAAATTGATTCTTAAGAATGGAAGCGATTCTGGAACCTATGACACGGGAGGAAGGTATGCACAATTATATCTTTCATATGGTATCTATCGGGGAATCTATACATTGAATTCAATTATGCAGGTACTCCCCTGTAGTTTGAGAACGCTTTTAGCAAGTACGCATGGACAGTGCCCGATATGCTAATACTCGGAGAACCGTGGAGCATGACCGAAGGCAACAGACTAGCATTTGACATCTTTGGATGGTCTGTACAACTGACCTTAAGCTGTAAACCGGCTCTGTTTGATTTTGAGCCAAATTTACATTTGTAGGTTTGCAAGCAAAATGGAAAGGGTGATTCTATACGTCCTGGCCAGGGACAGAGATGGTTTCCTGTCGAAGGAAGCCATTAGACGCTGTTTTGAAGGAATTTTGTTCGAGTATTATGCCAGGATGCAAGTGGAAGCAGAGGACAAGATGAAATGAAGAAATTCTAGCTGTTGTTTCTGGTAATAATATATATTGTATAGTGCACCCGAGTTCAAGTTGCTAGTCACATGAAAACTTCAAGAGTTCTTGAACATTCGTCTAATATTTTGTTGAGGACATGTGCATATAAATTGTTGCTCGATCAATAAGATTTAGTTTCCTAGTATTTCGACCCAGGCAATTTGTCTCGAGCATGTTGTATAGTATCCAAGACCATCAATTGAATCCGAGTAATTGACAATATTTTAGGGCATCATAGATTTCAAATCCGCCCTTCGAAGGACTTAAAAATATCATATCAAACTAGCACACAAGCACATCAAATTTTTTCACTACATAATTCAGTTCATCAATTTTAAGTACAGATTGGAAAACACGAAAAAGGGAAAAAAGTGTTTGTAAGGTTTTAAGCAACATAGTATAGAGGATTTGGGAGCTTAAATGTCCTTTTTGCTGATGGGAGGCCTTCAATGCTGCTCCATTGATCTCCTAAAATGCCCCAAATGCGATATCCATTGTTTATAAATTTCTTTCTCACATCAGCCTTGAATTTTTGGTTGTTCTTCTTTTCATCATCTTCGCCCCTGAATTAAACCAAACATTTAATTTATTCATTTAAAATTTACCTTTCACACGTCCTTTTTACGTGCACAATATTCACATATTACAACCACATTATCTGAAAGTTTAAGATAATCGACTAACCTTAATATGAGACTAGTCCAGCCATGATAACCTACATCAACAAGGTTATCAATGGTGGCAGATCTGAGACATTCCCTTCTTGAAGAAACCAAAATGATTTGAATCCCAAGCCCTTTCAGCTCATTGAAAAGCCTCAAAGAGTGCTCTAGAGCTGGTGCTTTCCCTTGGCTCATCCATTCCTCTAAAGATGTAGAGTTCAATTTCCGACCCCTAGACGATGCACAAAAAGTTATTTTAAATGTCCAAGTGAATCTAGCAATGAATCGAAAACAGTTCATGGAGAAATACTAGTAACAAGTGATATCTTAAATGTACCCGAAATCGTTTTTCTTGTAGTAAGGGACGGTAGACAAAAGAGTATCATCGATGTCGAAAATCCAGGCATCTTTGCCACCTTTCTTAAAATCACAGCAAGTATACATATGAACTGTGCATTCATCAATTGTCCTTTCAGAATCCACCTTGTATTGAGTTGATGTCATGTATTTCCCAATAAATTGAACACATTCCTCAGGCACAACTTCAAAATCCCTTATGTTGTGTAGCTCAACATTCATCCTCCAACTCTCACAGTAATTCTTCAATGTGATTTGGAGCCCATATTTCCCTTTCTTCTGATTCAAAATGTTCCAGTTTGAGGCTGAAACAAGGCCAAGAAATAGACCTATTATGGCCAAGAAAAACCCAAGATTTCTTGCCATTGCTTTGATTAGAAAATGAGTGGAATTGGACAGTGCAGATTGATATTTGTTGGGCTTTTGTTCATTTATAAGTAGCTTTAGTCTATGGAGATTGACATGGTATGCAGTTCCAGATAGAACTGTCCAGTATAGTAAATGAGCGAATGACGTATTTGAAAATTGGATCACATGGGAATAGGGATTTCTTAGTTGTCACCGAGTAATTGATTTTCTTGAATAAGGCTGGCAAATGGGCTTAATTTAAAGATGAATACTTAACAATTTATAAAGACATGGAACTTTTCTTTTAGTTTTATAGTGAAGTGAATGTCCTAATATATGACAAATAATATTCCTTTCTGCACATGAACTGAAATAATAGACTGAATATGTCTCTGCCAATTTTAATGCTTATGGGCACAAAAGATAATATATCTTAATGGGCTCCAGCATGTTTATGTAGTGGTTGTGTAGTAATTGGATGGACATGTTGAAGATAAAATCAAGTTGAATTATATTTCTTCATGTCTAAGTTTTTAAATGAGATAGTTCAATAGTAAAGCTCGTGGAATCAAGTCTAGCCATTGAATTCAACTTGCACTAAAGACTAAATTTGAACAAATAAATTTGTTCCTTCTCAAACACTTTAAACGGTTCAACATATGAAAACTACGGAAGTTGTTGTATTCGAATTTATTATGGACTGCTATGTCTATGGCTGCACTCCACTAGACAATGAGAAAACCTTTGCAATAGGAAGGACGAAAATTACTAATGAACTTTTTTCTATCAATTTCTTAAATTCTCACTCCCACAAATCCATTGTATTTTTCTTTGTCATCTGATTGAGTTGAGACGGTGCATTCTCCTCGAATGGTATTTTAGTCGACAATGCAGTGTGGATGGAAATCAGTATAAGTTAAAATCTTTTGTAAGGTAGGGCGGTTCACTTGAGTAGCTCAGTTACCCTTAAACCTACATTCATGACCCACTACAAAATCTCCACCATACCAAAAACCAAGCACAGCATACCTGCGACATAGGAGCCGACTCGGTACCGTGCTAACTCTTATTGTATATTTAAATGATAAATTAAAATCACTTGGTAGGAACAAAAAACCATTATTCAATCATTAGCTGATTTGAGAATCACATGTTCAAGATTGGGCGCACGTTTGCCAGCAAAATGTCAATATACAGCCCTGTGGATGATGAACTTTGCCAATGTAAATTCATTAATCCATGTCCCAGTGATCCACTTCTAACACTACCTCTGCTTGTTACCTCCCCCGTCTAAGTCTGAGAACAGGCTTGCTCCCGTTCTATTGCCTAGGACGACAGTTTGAGCGGCGCGGTAGAGCTTAGAGGGGTAGGAAGATTTTCTTTTTCCACTTTTCTTGTGTGTGTTTCTTTTACTACATTTCACACGTTTAATTGAAAATGAGCTATACAATGGTCTTTTGCATCAAAGTCTTTTGTTGTGTTACATTTTAATTGTCAAAATTTCTGTGTAAGATTTGAGTGCTACAAACATAAAAAGTTGGTTTGAATAGAAGAAAGTAGTTAATGCTGTAATTAATTGGGTCATTTATCGGGTCAAAACAATGAATTGGATTAAATAATGGACTAGGCTACTACGATTATGAACAATGCTATGGGTACAAGAAAGTACACACGAAAACTGGACAAAATACACATAACAGGTGGGCCCCATTTTGACAATATTTAATTCGAGTGGGACCCGCCTCCCATGTGAGTGGAATTCAAATTCTTGTATAAAATCTGGTTTATTCATATTCAAGTGGGGCCAGCAGCATTTTTCTACGATTAATTGGGTGATTTGGAAGGGAAAAATTCATAACTAGCACACTTTAAGAATACAATTTCAAAAATATTAAATTTGTGCAATCTTTACAAAAATCAGATGATAATTTATATTTATCTTTCCTATAAATAATATACAAACATTTTATTGTAGATTTATTTGGGATATATTATCTTACTTTATTATTTCGAAAATTAAGCAATCAGTTATTTCTTTCCACGTTGTGGTGTAAAAATGGGCGAGAAGGTTCGAGGAAATGAATTGGCACAGCACGGTCCTGTTAAAGGACTGGCCCATTACAGTTCATGGGTCGGATGTAGACTGGCCCACAAAAATAAGTACGAGATCGGGATAAATTTGTCCAATTTGACACCTCTATTTCCACATTCTCTTACATGCATCGATCTTTTCTCATCTTCCAACAAACAAGGCCACAATTTTGGCAAATTCGTTGCCTCGAAATTAATTTTACAATTTCATAGGCAGTGTATCTTCATCGATTACATTGTGTTACATGAGTTCTATTCCTTCATTAACTGAATCATCTTCGTGGTCATAATTTCTGGACATTTTACAGAAATTATTTCTTGTTATCTGAGAGAAATCGTTTCCGAGTGTTACATAAGAACTGTATCAGTATGAAATGTGATATAGAAGCTGTACATGGCATTCTTATCTAACTTGTTCAAGGATTGTGGATCTTTCTATGGCAATTATATAATTACATAATAGTAGTTATGTGACTTAAATTATGTCAGACAGCAACATTGTGACTTATAGTATAGTAGCAATGTGACCAATTTAGTAGCCCCGAACATTTTTTTAGCTAATTTGTGAAAACTATTCCTTTCCTGACCTCTTAAGTTTATAATTAGGCTATGTATTGTGGCGCCTGTGTACTATTTACGTGAATATCATATGTGACAATGTCACTTATGTATTGATGAGATGACTGTGACTTACTATTCGTTTGATATTTTTGCAACGATGGGCTATATTCACGTTTTCTATAGAGTTCATACATTTGTAATTCTAGTGAAAGATGATGGCAAATATATCGAACTTGTTGACATGGTAACATCATAATTGGTGTTGGATTCT